ATTAATTAAAAATTAACCATTATCCCTTAAATTGTAGGGTTTCATAAACAAATTTGCCTGTTTATTTACTATAAATTTTCTTCTGATTTAATTTATAAATAATTAATATTTTTAAGAATTTTTTTTTTTAAATTAATATAATAAGTTTTATCTTTTAATTATATAATAAAGAATTTAATGTTACTTAGAAGCTAAAAATTTGTAATTTTTTACAAAAATTTATTTTAAAAAATTTTATGATTAATTTATGATAAACTTTTTAGAATTTAATTTTAACTATATTAATCATAATAGAATATTATAAAATTACTTATAAAGAAAAACTTTTATTATTATAATTTTTATAATTTATTAAAAAAATTTATGATTTTAATTAATGATAAAGTGATTCACTTAGTACACAAACATATAAATTTTTAAAGAATTTTTAAAAAATTATTATAAGAAATTTTTTAAGACTTAATTTTAAAATTAAATTATTTTAAAAACCTTTTTAAAAACTTAAAATCTTTGTTAATAAAGTTGATAAATATATATTAAACTTTATTTTTATATAATAGTAACATTACTAAAATTAATATTTAATTTTTTATAAAGAAATTAACACTTTTTTTTAATTTCGCAAGTAAATTTGTCTCTATATAATCTAAAGATATTTATGAATAATTTATATATATCAGAAATTAGACAAATTTTATTTGATAACGTATATACTACCATACGTATAAATCTGATTGATTAATCTATTGATCAATATTGATTATGCTAAATACTGCATATCGTTAGAACATGTAGATGCAAATGAAGCCTTGAATTGACAGAAACTTGATCTTCGCTGATTAGTCTATAATGAATACAATCTTATGTCTCATATAGCAGGGAATTGAATTAAAGATTAATTTTAATTGATTTAATTGAACAATATCAATTAGAAAAATTATCTTAAAAAGAATATTATAAATTATTCTAAAAAATGATAAAATATAATTATTCTAAATAGAATAATATAAAATATCATTTTTATGTAATATAAAAATATAATTGTTTAAAAGAAATTATAAATATAATTATTTCAAATAGAATAATAAAACAACTAAAACTATTATTTTAAAAAGAACAATAAAATAAAATAATTTTAAAAGAAATAATAATAATAATTATTTCAAATAAAAGAGATAATAAAGATAATAAAATCATTATTCCTATTAGATAATATAAATTATCTGATTAGAATACTTTAAATTATCATCTCAAGTGATAACTATAACATATTATTTAATAAGAATAATTTTTATTATTTTAATTGAATAATTTAACATTATTTAATTAAATAATACAAATTGTCTAATTGGAATGATATATTATTATTAAATAAGAATGATAAAATTAATTAAATCAAATGATTTAATATTATTTCAATTAGATAATGCAAAGTTTTCTAATTAGAATAATCAAATCATTATCTTCTAAAGGATAATACAAATTATTCAATAGGAATAATAAAAAAATTATTATAAAATATTAATGAATAATAATTAAATTTTAGATCAATTGAAATTTTCTATTTGGTTTATAATATAAAACTAATAAACTTTTAGATTATCCGAAAAATATAAAATCATATAATATGTATATATTATATGATTTTATATTTTTCGACTTAGACTAGATTATGAATATAACTTAGGTAACTTCATAATATAATAGTAACATCATAGTCTGCTGGTAACTTCATAATATAATGGTGATTTCATAATCTAATTACATAATCTGGTAGTAACTTCATAACCTATTATCTATAATCTGATAGTGACTTTATAATCTATTATTTTGGGTAGCTTCTTTGTATTTATAGTATTGTTTTAATCTTTTCCTGTATAATATGGTGGTAATTTCATAGTCTAATGATGACTGACAATGCTTTATTTTAATGGTGATGTCATGATCTAATGGTGACTGCTTTCTTTTTGTTCTTAATTTGTTTACATAATAAATTCTATATTGTTTTTTTTGGCTTTCCATCCTTGTTTGAATGTCTGGTTCCATGTTGAGGATACTGGCCTCCTGCATCTGACTGAGTGCTAGTTCTATATTGAGAATTTACGCATATTTGGTTGCCTCTTAAAATACTGAAATAGTGTAAAAAAAAGAGACGATAGGTGACGCAGTAAATTCATGATTAATTTCAGCTGACATTATACCATATTTTTGGCTGATCTTTTGGGCATGTAATTTGAGGATCCAGCTTGGCACTATAGCAGTGACCTGATAGTATCCTGGAACTGTCACTATGAAAAATTTGTTAGTGATGCTCTTAATGACACCTTTGTATGCTTTTTTCAAAGATTGGTGGTATTTGACTATCTTCCTTTATATCCGTCACTATGTCACTAAGAGTTACTAAGAAAAAGTAAAGTTCTAGAAAAAAAATCAAAATTTTTCTACGCTATCCCTATAGTTATATGGAATATAGTATAATAAGTATATGACATATGCATGATACATATATAAGAAGTTTGCTAGGAAAATGTGGTTCTGAAACATTTTTTAAAAAATTGAAATTTTTGATACATATTAATCTATAACTTATAAACTTTAATTGGTTAAAATTTTATATTACATTAGCTTATTTTCAAAAAAAAATTATAATATTGAAAGTTATTACTTAGTAAATCTAGAAATAGATTTTTGGAAATAATAAACATGTTTAATGTACTATTTAGGAAATGATCAACAAATTACATCTTAAAAAGTATTTAGCTAATAATTTATATCATATGATATATATTACATGACCTAAAAATAGATCACCTCAAATTTAAAGCTAGTTTTTTGTTTATTTTGATTTTTTAATTTATTCAAAAATTTTTTTGGTCTCAGAGTCCCATTTTCCTAGCAAACCTCCCATATGATATATATCACATGACCTAAAAATAGATCGCCTCAAATTTAAAGCTAGTTTTTTATTTATTTTGATTTTTAATTTATTTAAAAATATTTTTTAGTCTCAGAGCCCCATTTTTCTAGCAAACATCCTATATGGATCAGATGATAATGAAGGGTGTGATAATTGGATACAGTGGATATAATGGTAATTATTATTATCATAATGGAAGATATGAAAAAAAAATCTTATCAATGATAAGTCCTATTATATCTCCGGTATCTGGCTAGGAGAATTATTAGGTGAATTGTATACTAAATTATCATATAAGTTTATTTTTTTTAGCTGAATTGAAATCAACAAATTATTAGACATTAGGGTTGTCATATTTGTTTTATATTTTGTGACGATAATAACATCCAGAAGTGACAGTTTCACAGTATTACATTTTGACAAAATTGATTTACGATTTGTTAATTACCTTCTAATCCATAATGTGACACAGTAAAATTTTTTAATTGTAAAGATTATTTTGGATTTCTGTAATCCAAATACTTCATATCTTAGCTTGTTTTGAAGTTCTCTATGTCCTGCATCTGATCGAATTAGTTCAAGATTTCTACAATATCTGGACCAAGTTTCGTAGGTAATTGAAGTTTCAATTCTTATATAGTACTAACAATACATTATGAGACTCATTGAATAGCTATAAATTCTTACATAATAACCTGCAGATCAATTTCTCACCTCCTTTAGTTTCTCGAAACCAAAACTAGTATTTGTAGGTTGCCAGATTATCATTACTTCTCACATCACTTTGGCAATAGTCTCTTTAAGAACCACAATTTTTTCTTACTAAAGTTCGAAAAAGAAAAGCTATCTGAATATATTATTAAGACATATGTTAATAAGAGTATGCTATTTTTTGCAATACTAAAAGGGTAAAATTACTAATATTTCTAATTATAATTTCAAAATGTTAGTTAGATATCTTTTGCAGTACTGAAGATATAAAGGATATGATTATGTCTAAAATAATTAACCTTACAATTATCAAAATAACTACGCATCCAATGATCGGATATTTATGAATTTTGGTTTGTTAGAAGTCCAGAACATACTGATTCTAGTCGTACAATCCTATCAAAATTGGATTATTAGTTGATGAGATATTTGCGCATTATCAGGAAATTCTTGCCAAGATTTTTTTTTGACATATCCGCAGAATATACGCAGTAATACGCATGTGATTTACTTTAGTGTATTGAGTGCATCATGTATTTTTTACTCGAAAGTTCCAATGTTAAAAAGAAATTCAAAATGGAAATAAAGCGAGCGATTAGAATTTATGATTTACAGATCTTCAGATAAATGGTATATTTTATTATCCTAGTTTTGTTAGCATATTCAAATTACATGTATAGGCTAATCACACGTTAATCCATTTTTAAATAGGAATTAGTGATACATATCTCAACATGTGCGATTTGTCATCTACAGATCTCGATTAATGATAAATAATATTCTGATTTATATTCCTTTTTTGAGATTATAATTGAAATAAGGGATTGGCAAAATAGTATTCAACAAAAATGCATAGATACGATATTTCTTCATTAGTATTAACTTATGACATAACAGTTTGTTATAAACCTGTAATTCATCGGGTTTTCTTTTAAGCACTATTACCTCAAATTCACTAACTATTATTGGATTGCTTTAGGTAAAAAAAAATGTAATTATGAAAAATAAAGTGCTGAAAATATTTAAAGAGGAGTCGAAATCAACTTTCATATGAAAGGTTATTTTTTATTAGGCATAGTGATTGAAAAATTTTTTGGCATATAACAGGTTTGTCATAAGAAAGGAGTTTATTAGAAAATTGAATTATAAATACAACTAATAATTGACTAAGTCTCATATTAAAGCATGAAGCAAGAAACACCCATCAATCGCTAAGCAACGATTATTAACTTCATAGAAGAACATCAAAGACTCATTGAACCTAAGGTTGTTATCGAATTCTTACAAAATAAAATGAAAGAACCTTGATGAAACTGATATTGGGAAGTTCGTTGAGGTCTCAGGTCCAAACTTCTTTAATTTGACTGAGGAAATGCTTACTCAAAGAACTGGTATATTTGGTTTAAAATATGCAATAGCAGATAATATTTCAAACGTCATTGATGCGTTTAACATGCTTCGTGAGGCTGAGAATAAGCTCAAAAGATTTGGTTTATCTTTTGAATCAGTAGTTACACTGGTTAAGGATCTCGAGTCAGAACAAAATTCATCAGATTTATCAAATAAAGCTTTTCTAACAAACTTATTACAAGATAGTATTTTCTAGAGGGTTAGGAATCTTCAGGTAATTTGTTGTAATTCACACCTACTAATCTTGCAAATAAATACTATGTTATAGCTAAAACTGTTTTAAGTAATCATCTTGAGAATACGTATATAAGTGATGAAGGGATTCACTAGAGGTTTAAGAAGAAATTGGCATTATTAGAAGCCATACTTGGAGTAGAAGCAATTAATACCAAGACAATGTATTGGGATAGTATAGGCCCAAAGTACCAAGCATATGCTAATACTATTAGAAGTAATGATGCTTGCAAAAATCATTGGCAGACAAATTAGGTAGAAAAAATGCTGGAACGCTAAATTAGTTGGGAAAAAAATGAAAAATTTCTGCACCTGATATGTTTTTATTAGCATCATCAGGAAAATTTTTATAGCGAAGTACTTCGAAAAATTTACGATTTGTAAATATTTCGAAATTCTTCGCCATA